CCTAAAACCCAAAAACCCTAAACCCAAATCTTTCAAGGTGATGATCCAGGACCTGACTCATCCGGCAGAGTAAAAAAATGTCCACCGTCAAGTGGTTTAAGGTTGAGGGTTTAGGGTTTAGGATTTAGGGTTGAAGGGTATAGTCCCCCTTAAGTAGAGAGAATACGGCTTGGGATCTATTATAATAAGATCCCAAATACCCCATATTCGATCTACCTAGGGGAACTGTAAGAACTAGGGCATTGATAGATATTCGTATTCGTCATGTAAAAACTGATCAAACTTGATGTGATTTCTCGATACCTCTCAAGCAGTTCTAGCATTATACGTCCCCGAGACGTTGATGTATTAAGTCTGAAAAATGGAACAGGTGTTTGGTGTGTATTTCGCCGTGATGCGGCTCTACAGTATTCGAATTGTTTGTATAATCCGCACAACAACATAAGCAAACATGCAGATAGGGATCTTCCATTTAACACCTCCTATAACAAACCTTCAGGAAGTATGGATACGGTGGATACTAAGAATCCTGCATGACTCAAAGTATCCTAAGCCTTGGGAATTATGGTACTACAGTATACGAAGGTCATGCTGGATGTTTAGTATCAAAAGTATCCCCCCCATACAAGCTAATGCTGAGGCTCTCGGCTCCTTCCTTGTTTGGCTTTGGGTTTAGGGTTTAAGGTTTAAATAAACCAGAAACCCCTAAACCCTAAACCCCTAAACCCCTCAACCCCTAAACCTCTAAACCCCTAAACCCTAAACCCCTAACCCCTAAACCCTAAAGTGTAAGGGAGCCTCCAGGTGGGGAGGTACCAGGTGATGACCCGTTCATAAAGCTAGTGTAAGGCCTTACAAAGGGAGTCCAGAGCCCTGGAAGATATCCTTTAAAGGGGGATATAGGGGTTATATAGGGGTTCTATAGGGGTTATATAGGGGTTATATAGGGGTTATATAGGGGTTATGTAGGGGTTATATAGGGTTTAGGGTTTAGGATTTCCCGAAACTAAGGGTA